TTTTTCCATTTCTGTGTTAATGTGGCAGCACTGTTTCGTGGACCTTGTCGAATGCACTGGAGAAACTGGCTCCAATGAACCACTCAAACAGTGTTTGATTAAACACACAGTGGTGTGGGGGGTGGTTGGTGTGCCATACAGCAGCTTTATTAAAGCAAGTGTGCCTTAATCTTTTCTAGCCTAATAACCACCAGTATACACAGTGCTTTGCAAGAGCTGTTTCGTGACCTTGGGTTACTACAGTCTAATTATTAAGGAATGTTATGAATAGCTGAAACACTTACATGACGCTTTTTAAAATAGCCTGTACAACTTGACAAAAGCGTGCATTTCTAGAGTTTTTGTTAGCCATTATTTCAGAATGAGTTTGGTTCAGTTTTATGTGCATCTCTACCAATAAACTGTTGTATATTTTAGATTTTTATTTTAAGCCGGTGCTAGTAGTTAGCTGGTTTTGGCCTGAGGAAGACATTGCTTGCCAAATTAAACCTGCACTTAATGCAATCGAGCGTGTTTCAAATAGAATCTCCTGGTCTGGCATTTGTGAATAAAGGAGAAGAGACACGAGAGAGATTGTTTTCCATTCTGTTGTTCCTCTGTAGCCTGGGGGGCTGTCCAGTCAGCCCCTCTGAGGTTTGTCTGTTTTTGTGAAGGGCCTCAACGTCACTATGCAACCTGAAATTACATACTGTGCCTGTCTTCCATCACAGGGCTTGATTGTGTCTGCTTTAATGGACAACAGAACTAAGACATTTGTTAGGGCTTGACGTTGTTATACACAGTGTGTGGAGAAGCTGGAAATGAAAACAGAGCCCAGCCTGTTCTTCCAGAGTTGGTATTGTTAATGTGTTTCGTTGTGACAAGGTCGTTTCGTAGGACAAGCTTGCCTTTAAGAACAGAGCGACTGATGACCAAACAAATTGTCAGTAAAGGCTCAGTGTCCCAAGTCATGGAAATTATGAACATGCACACCTCTCAAGTGGGATCTGAAGCATGCTGTTTGTCCCACCAACAACATGGCACAGGTGCAGTGGAATTTTAGTAAAATTAGGCAATTCTGTAATTCTGATTCAGCGTTTCAGCTGTTTTCTGCTGGTGTCTTTGTCTCAGATTGTTCATCTGAAGCCGTCTGGAAGTTGCCAGCATGGAAACAACTGGCATATGCTGCCAAGGATTTTATCCACAGCAGCCAGGAGCCTCAGCCAGAGCTGAAGGCAGCCCATCAAAGAGGTACAGAAGATGGAGAAATCTGGCCTTCAGTCAGCCAGCACTTTCTGCCTGCTGTTGATATTGTGGAGATTCTTCTCTCTCTCTTACACTGCAGTAGTAACCGTTACCTTTATCAGCCGCATTTGTGAAAATGTTTAAGATGGATACTAGCTTCACCCCAGAGGGTGAAACAGTCGACATTACTGAGATGATAATACTGGCCGGAGCTGTAGAATTTGGGACCTTCTGACTCATTAAGCATGAATGATTTACATCTATTGCTTCTGTTTTAGAGATATTTAGCATGAAACCATTGGCTTGTGTCGATATTTTCCAGGGTTGTACATTTTCACTTTTAAACTGGAAATGTTATTTCTTAGCCTTTTCTTTATTTGCATTTCTCTTATTCAGGTTGTTTTTGTTGGCGAAAATTTTCCAAGTTTCCTCAAAGGACCTTCCTTACCCCAAATGCTTAATAGTAACATATTAATTTCCTTTCTTTTAATATAACAGATGTAACACCTTGTGTTAATGGAAAACAAGTTACACCCTTTAATAGGCTAATCTAGGGCTTTCATTTCCTGCCCTTAAAAGCATCTGAGTGTTCTCCCATTCTAGTTTGACCTATTGTACTGCAAATGGCCTTGTCATTTTACGTGCTCAGAACCTTGTTCTTCGGTTCAGACTGTACCTGGGATGTTCGTTCGACATGGAGCCTGTTCAGCAGGCGGCAGTGTAGTTTTGACACCAGCCTGCTGCATCAGTTTGTGTTGGCCACATTCAGCCCAGCAAAAAGCAGGTGGATTAGAGCTCTAGTAGGTGAAAATGAGCAGGCTCAGATCTCTGCTTTCCCACAGCTGCTTTCTCTATTAAGATTAATATATTTCTTTTCCAGTTGGTTAGGCACAAGTGTACTACAGCTGGTAGCTCAGTATTTTGTATGAGAATTCAATTCACTAGACTGCTTTAAATTCTCAACCTGTAAAATAGATTCTGGATGACTGCAATCCAGGCTTGGTTTCAATAAAAGCTATATGAAGTCAATCGCTGATTTACAGGTGCTGTTGAGAGCAGTGTTTGTTAATTTGCACCTCCAGCTCATATTTGCCTGTTGAACAGCACACCATGACCATAAACCTCCAAATTATTGGCTAAATTGCATGAGAGGAGCTCTATGATCCAGAGCTTGACTAATGTAATCAGTAGTATTTTATGTTAATTCCCTTTACATGAATGTCAAGACAACATGAGGCCTTGTTTATCAGCAACTTTTTAAAGTTTTGTCTGTTGTGCGGTGGTGTTCTTTGAGATGAATGTGATACGGTTCAAAATGGAGTTATTTTTACTTATTCACTCTATACGCAATTCATAACAGATCTCTGGAGCTGCTATTGTAAGCATTGGTGATGCCTGACAGAACTGAGCTTTGCAGATGCACACAGTTGGTTTGTATTAAGATGACAGCCCCTCAAAGCCATGTAGTATGTACACTTAGTATATACTGTATGTCTGTATGTTCTAGAGAGGGGCATTCCTGTATGTCTCGCATCAGATCCTTCAGGTAGCACAAGGCCAAGTTGCCGTATATAATTTCACTTTGTGTTTGGTGTTTTGTCACTGTATCATTTTCATTAAGCCCACTTGAGTTAGCGTGGTAGTGTTTGGTAATTATTCCCATGTAGTTTTGTAAGAATGTGGACTCAGTGTTTGCTGGTAAGAACAGCTACAGCATAGAAAAGGAACATGACAGAATGGTAAATATTCTTGGCTTGTATACAGGTCTGTTCACTAGCAGGTTAAGGCTCAAGTCTATCATTGGGATTTTACAATCATACTTATTGTATTAGTTTCCAAATCAAAATGTTGATACTTATGACTGTGAGAAGCTAGCTAATAGGATTGTGCCTTTATCATTTGTGCATTCCAGTGTTTGAGGTTCCCATTGAATATAATGCATACACTATTTTTTAAGCAATCTTGCAAACCTGAAGGAATCTTGCTATTAATTCTGTGTGCAAATGCTATCAGAATTGTCTTACTGAAATACTCCTTTTAAGTGTGCTTAATTTGCAAATCCTTCGAAAGAGGTGTATTAGATTTTTAAATTGCATTGCAAAAAAAGTTGTATTTGGACAGTGATTTCTCTTCGACTTTTGTATTGATTTTTTAAAACTTATTAATCACTTTCTTTTTTGGAAGTCAGCCTTTTCTCGACATTTTTGCACTGATTTATATATGGGTGGAGCTGAATCTTTTCATTAATAATGCCCTTTATCGAGCTTTTGTTGTTATTTATCATACACATGATCTGGATTGTCTTGTCTCTTTGGCATATTGATACTTTGTCTACGTAAATTAGTGAACTGGGTTATCTGTTCCAACTAGTCTGCTGTGAGATAATGCTGATTGAAATGATTTAGTGCCCTAATTGAAGTTTGGCCTCATTAACAGAGCACTGATTGTGCCACTGAGAATTTCTCAGCAGGACAGACATTCTGTGTTCACAAAGTAAGTAAGAATTGACTTAGTTTAAAATCCAGCTTCTCTATTGTTAAATATAAATGGCACATATCGCATGGCACTTTGAAATTCTAGTTAACTGCACTCATTAGCAACTCTCAGTGTGAACCTGCCTTTTGCCTGACATTGTGAGCACTACAGATTTTTAGTAAAATTTAATTGCAAGTAGCCCACAAAAATGATACACTCAGGAGAGCCTGGGAAGCTTTCATTAGTTCACAGTAAAAAGTCATAAACAACTATGTGACAGCCTCGAGTAATTGCATACCACTTTATACTTTTCAGACAGCTCGCTGAACATAACAGAGTAATAGACTAATGCAGAATTTATCAAAAAAGAATTGCTTTGTTAGTGTAGATTACGTGTTTCCAGTGTTGGTCCTGGAGGACTGATGTGTCTGAGTTTTCTAGGTCTCTTTATTAAAGGAGCAGCACCTGAAGAGCTGGGAGAAGTGGTTAAATGGTGCCAGTAATTGCCAGTAATGAGTACTTGCCACTAATGAGTACATTAAGAGCCATGCTGGAATGAAAACCTGCAGAGACACTGGCCCTCCAGGACCAGGATTACATAGACCTGATTAGAATTTCTGCAGCTCATCGAGGGTTTTATTGAATAATTTGAGCAACATTATGAACTGATTATGGTGAATTCAAATAGCAAAAACTAGTGAGTGGCTTCAATTACATTGGTATCTGAAAGTGCTAAACTGAGCTGTGTGCACAACATCATGCTATTCTGCAGCTCAGCATCAAGAGATACTCTGCCCAAGGCTGTGATGTGGTTGCTGTTTGCCACGTCAGATCGTTTGCTCTTTCCTTTTGATGAATGTGTGGAGCTAGTTGTTGCGGTTTTATAACAGACTGTCCCCACATTAAGAGCTGCTGTAGACTTGGCCTGCCAAGCAGTTTGCAAGTAGAAGACAAAAACGGATCTCTCTTGAAGACCTCGTTCTTCCGGCATGGGCTGTGAATGGGTCTTTTGAAGAAGAAAATCGGAACAACCAAAAAAAACATAAAAGCCCGTGCTGTCCTGGTCTGCGTAGTGTGCCTTGCAGTGGACTGTTAACGTGCCTAGCTGGAGATCAAATGGAAGACTTTGTCATCAGATTTCCTTTCTGGACACACATCATGATGTCCTGGGGCACACCTGGGTTGTTGGCACCAAGGCTGTGATGGAGTATGGGGGCTTCCTGTTATCCCATTCCTATAATGATGCCCAGTATGTACGAATATGGACTGTCCTTTTATTCAGTTTTTCTGTTTAATTGCAGATTTCCCAGTGGTGAAGCAAACAACGAGGTAGAGGTTGGCCAATAGCTGCATTTGTGGAGTAAGACTCTTACTTTTTATTTCAAGACAGCAGACAGGCCATCACTTACAAAGCTGGTTGGAGCTCTCTATTAAAGGAGCTGCAGTTATATAACTATACAATTTCTCAGTATTATTAACTCCTTTTGAAGAAGTTCGTAGGCTGTAAATAAAAAGGGAGGGAGTGTCATCTAGCATTTAACAGTGGTGTCTTTGAGACCTGCCTGTCAGAGACATTTTTTCAAAAGCCTGTTGATGCTGTAAATCTCAAGTCTGTTATGAAAGTAACAGATTGTAAAGTTATGAAATTGAATACTTAATATATTTTGCTATTTCTTGCAAGGGGAAAAAAGCCTTGCTCAGTTGGTAAAGGAATACAAAACATAAAATAGACTGAGTTGGAGGGGTTGGTTCACTAAATAACTGTTTTAATTGTTTTATTGTGTGTTGTCTTAAGGTCCATTACCTCATTATGTGTGGTTTCTGTGCAAGAACATAAAGTTTAAGAATGGAAATGATTGGAATACAATGTAGCTCCTTTTGGTTTTTAATAGCTACGGTTCTAGGAAAAATGTTTGTGAACGACTAATGTTTTTCACGTATTTGAAACTTAAGATGTGATTAGATCTTGATCTACAGAAAGTCCCAAAAATGGTTAACCTGATGAAACGCATTATACAAAATTTGATAATCTTTCAACATTTATCCATCTTCAACTGCTGTAACATTCAATATCCATGTGTGACAAAGCATATGAGCCTTTAGATTCAATAACTTGTGGCTTTCCCTGTAACCATTGATCAGTCTCTCAGATTTTGCCCATTCCTCCAGGCCTAACACCTTCAACTACAGTACTTAACATTTGAGGGCTGCTTTGCATGGACAGCAACATTTCTTTGAGCTGTCGTCGGGACTTTGACTAGGCCGTTATAAAATTCAGAATTTCTTCTTTTGCAGCCATTCTTTTGTAGATCTGCTTTTATGTTTAGGATCAGTTTTGAGGAAGATCCACTTTCAGTTCAGCCTCAGGTCATAGACAGATGGCCTGCCATTCTCCTTTAGGATCTTCTGACGCAATGCCTGATCCATGGTTGTGACAATGTCAGCAAGCCATCCAGGGCCCGAGGCAGCAAGGCAGCCCCAAACCATCTCACTCCCACCACCGTGCTTGACGGCTGGGATGAGGTTCTTCTGTTTGAAAGCAGCGTTTGATTTGATTTGTGACTCGGCTGTTCAGTGAACTTTGTTCCAAAAGTCCTGTGGACCATCTGTGTGCTCTTTGGGGAACTTCAGGTGGTCGCCAGTGTTCTTTCTGGAGCGCAGTGGCTTTCTCCTCATTAACCTTCCATAAAAACCTTTCTTCTTATTTTCTAATAGTTGAGTCATGAACTGTCACTTTAGCCAAGGCAAGAGTGGCCTGCAGTTCCTCAAATGTGTTTTTCACATCCCCTGTATCTTAATTGCTAATTGTTTAATTGATATATGATTTTGTTTTAGGATCCATTAAATTGGTTACTATAAACCCCATTGGATATTTACATAAAGGCTGGTTTTGGTTCAAGAAGGTTATCCTGGTAAAACTATAATTTTTCAATATTTATCTTTGGGGGTTGTAGATCTTTTCTCTAAAGTGTAATTGATCCAAGGATCTCATCTAGCTGTTTCTCGAAAGAGACAATGATGCCAACTTAGGAAGCATGACTGGGTAGCTTGGTCCTAACTCCCATACCCTTTGCATAAGGAAATGCCTCCTGTTCTCCATTTAAAATGACTTTCCCCTTACTTTCCAGTTTTCCTCTGATTTGTATTTCACTATTGATTCTGAATAAGTCCATAGTGTTGACTTTCCTAATGCCTTTGAGGAAAGACAAAGTTCTTTTAGCCTATTTAGAAAAGATTTCAACCTGTGAGTGAACCTCATGGTTCTGAACTGATAACCTTTTCTCTACTTTGGTGACCAAAATTGGTACACACTGTTCTGAATGAGGTGATTATATTCTGATTTTCATTCTGTAGGATGGACAGTCTTTAGTGTTGTCAGCTTATAAAGCACCTATTGTCAGTACTAAATGCTTTTTATTCACAGATAATACTGTTATTTTCTGACAAGCTGTTTTCTTATGTTAAAATTTCACTGAGCTGTGTCTTTTTAACTTAATTGACAGCTTGCAAAAAGCATTAATATTCTGCCCCAGAAACATTAAACATTTTTTTACCTTTTACTTTTTCTTATAACTAATTTGTCTTTTTTGCTGTCATAGAAATGTAAGGGGACTTTCCAAATGGTACAAATGTCAGTAGACCCCTAGTGTTGAATAACTGGTTAATCTCGATCCTGTCTTTAATGCAGTTATTAGAACATTTCTTTTTATTGATACTGAATCGATTGTTTTCTGTGTACACCCCGATTTGGAATCAGGCTGCTTCAGGTGACTGGCTGTTTACTTTCCTAACTGATCTAGGAGAAGAAACAACCTTCAGCACAAATACAACAGATTGCACTTAGACAGGGGAAGCAGCAGGGTTTTGGCATGATGTGGAGGGATAGATACCGATAAATCCGACAAATCCAACCACTTCCAGGCTGACCCCAGACTCCTTGCACTGCCAGTAGTCCAGCCCACATTTCTGGGGTGGCAGTCATTAGAATTTATGAGTATGTTGTGTAATTCTATTTGTAAGTCCTGCTGACAAATTTCAGTTCAGTCATAAGCTACACAGGAGCTCTGTTCTCATTGGCAAACAAGAATGGGTGACTTTGTGGAATATCAACCTCAGGAAATATTTATTTCTTAATCTCGAAGGACATTTGGACCCCCTTGCAGGGGAAAATCGCTAGTTTTCCACAGCTTGAATGTGCAGTGTTGTTCTCACTTTATACCTTATGTACTGTCATTAATAACACACCATTCCAGGGTGTCTTAACTGTTGCTGTCCCCCTTTCTTCTTGTGCAGACAGGAGCAATTTCAGGTTCCAGTGTAATGTGTAATGACTCATTTTCTTTATGCTACTATCCTTGTAGAAAGAGCCGATGACCATCTGGTACTGACAACAACAAGAACACAACACCAAGCTCTTATGCTGCCAAACAGCTGCTGTAGCTCACATTTTATGAGTGTATGGGCTGTATTCACACCGTGCCATATGTACATGTGTGGAGATGTATGAAAACAGGTTTTATCATGTACAAAATGTTTCATCATTTTGTCCACATTTACACATGGATGTCATGACTCAAAACATTAACAGAACTACATTTCTCTACTGCTTGTAAGTCCTGTTTAGTAGAAATTCCAAGTGTTTTCGGTTTAATTCAGGTGTGAGTTAACCATTCAATTTATAATATGAAAAAACAATGTAGTCTGATATTCCTTAAGATTTTTACCACTCACATCACAGTTCACAGAGAATGTCTTAATAGTTGAAGTTGCAGGAATACATGCTTGAGTCTCATCTGTTTTTTTTTTACTATTGTAGTCACTCTGTGCTGTGTGGGATAAGGGAACTTAATATACAGCTTTTGGAATTCACAGGGTTTCTTAGTTGTGTTTTCTGTTAATATAAAAATCCCTTAGAACTTATCAAACTTATTTAGCGACAACATTTTCACGGTTGGTTTTCTGAGGTCATTTAGGGTTGTTTAAATATTAAACAAAGCTGTACTTATTTTGTAAGTATTTGCTGCCTCAGAAGCAGAAGGACGTTAATGGTCTTCATTTAGTCCCCATTAAGGTTTAGCAGATATTTATAGTTTGATTGACAGCTATAATTACAGCTCAGAGTTGCAGTGATAGTTGCTGCCAACCATGATTTTGTGCAGTACTAGATTTCTTTTTTGGAACACAAGTGTCTGAATCTACGGGCTCACCACTCCGATTTGGACGGAAAAACTAGTGCTAAAGCGAAAGGCACATAAAGATGGCCAGTTTTTCAGCTCTCAAAGTCTCACCAGAAAACCCACCAAATTCACAAAATGCACGTTTACTTCAATTCTGATGCTCAACTTGTAAATATATATGTTGTGCTGGAATACCATTTACAGCAAGCTGCACAGCCATGTTGGTGAAGCCAGTACCCTGACTTCTATCAAGAAACAGCTGGATGAGATGCTGGTATCGGGTAGCTAATAACTTTGTAAATCAAAGTTTTTAACAGTTATCCTCAAATTAGTTTTCTAAAATAACATTTATATTTTATTAATGACTGACAAAATTGTCCATTGTAAGTGGTGATCTGATGTGTAGAGGTTTTAGAGCGTGTTTCAGGTCTTTTCTTTCATTTGATCACTTCCTATCATAATACTTCATAAAGCAGGCTTATCAGATTTTTTGAACCTTTAAATCAAAGTGCTGAGGGTTCCCAGCTGTGGAGTCCTGGGTGGCTGTGACTCCAGCAGTCTGTTCTTGGCTTGGTATTGCCCTGCCTCAGCTCTTAGAGCTGGTGGGGCTGTGACACTGAGCCTGGGAAGGTGATCTGTGCTTCCTGCAGATGCCCAGCGGTCAGGGTCATCCCAAGTCACTTTTGACTCCTTTGCATCCTTTTTGATTTTTTCCACATGATCAATCTCCAGAGCCTAAGTGAAACATTAGATAATAGAAAGTTGTGTGTCACTTCTGTGTTCATAGTAGTTAACCCTTCAGGTGGATAATTGTATTTCTCTCTCATCAGGTCTAAACTAATCCATATAAAAATATAACAGTGCATTCCCCTTTTTACCATTTAATCTCAATGTCAATACTTTTCTCTTCCCTACAGTATGTGGCTCAGTCCATTTCTCCAAATGTTTTCCCTGTAGTCATATAAGAATTGAGTCAAGCCAACTGCTCAATTTGTTTCTAGTTATCTGTGTCAGCCAGTGACCAACATTTCCCCTCTGTGTTATGGCATAAACAAAAATACGAAACAAATGATTAATAGTATACGATACTGTGCCAGATTCTAATGGAAACAATGGATTTTTTTATTGCAACAGTGTATTTCCAAAATCACTTTATCGCCTTCAAAATAATGTTTTTTCTGTT